AGGTTATGGCAAATCCATTATAGTACATGTTAATCATGTCTGGTTCGAACCTTACCCAAATTTCATCGAGTGATGGGGTGCATGGATCACCATTCTGTTGGGATTAGATATGGGGTTTTCCTTCGAAAGCCTATATATGGATCCGATGTATTTACTACAATTCTCCTGTTTGGGGTTTTTGCTTATCATCCCTACAGGCAGAATCCGGAGTGGATCCTAGTGCTCAACGCAACTTGCGTGCAATGGTACGCAACGAGATCAAAGAGCGCAAGGGCAAGGGAAAAGGGAAGCAAACCGGGCAGAATGACAAGGGCAAGAAGGGCAAAGGCAAAAGCAATGGGAAAAGCAATGCCAACAAGAAGACGTATGCAGCAACCGCAGCCGCAGCAGCAGCAAGCAGCCTTTCCAATCAAAAGGGTGATGACAAGATTGGCAAGCAGCGCAGGGTTCATGCAGTGGATGGCGACTCCAAGCCAGCCAAGAAGCCCCAAGAATGGGAAAGCTGGAAAGGCAGACCCTGGACTTGGATGCCCAACCTGCCGGTATTCCTCGAACGGCTGCAGAATCTGCAGACGCCCTGGCTACACCCCCAGGGGGCCAAACAAAAAGAAGCACGCTACAGACTGATTAAATCAGGCTTCGTGCAACATGGTCACGCTTTGATTGGATTTTGGACATGAAAAGTCTCACGTGGCAGCGTGTGCCAGGTGCTCTCTAGCAATACCCAGCGCAGCGATAAGAGTTTGATCTCAATGGGCTGAGTGCACTTGATTAAATACACACGCTCTCCAATTCGATGCTGTGCGCAACTGCAGTCTATAGGGATCATGCAGTGCATTGATGGCTGGAAATTAGGGTGCTAAATGTACAACAACATACATGCAGCTGTTGAAGGTTTTCCATCTCACTATGATCCCTCCTTTAATGCTGCAGGTGCGCGTGGGTAGGTCTCCTCGGTGTGGTTTGGATTCGGTTACCACTGCTGAAGGGAGAAATGATTTGGATTTGTCACCAATTCTGCTTGCACTTAGCGCCTGCAAACTTCCTACGCCCCATGATCTTGCCCTGAACTAAAATCTTGTATGCCAGGTGATTCGTCATGGGGAGGAAGCTCCTCAAAGGCAGGCCGAAGCGTGCCCTCCCGCCCTTGCCCAGCTGCATGAAGTTTGTGTGCTCTCATCATAAGGGCATGTGTGCTGTGCATGTGGAATACATGTGCCTCACCTTGTGCAAAAGGCAGCGTTGATTCTTGCGCCCGGATTCAGTTTTGTGATCAAAGCGCATAGTATGACCTTAATCTACGGAGTCCTTTGGGAATCACATTTCTACTTTAGATCGCGGCCCCAATCTAAAGTCTGTATAGAGGATTCTTCAAATCTTCGTGGTCAACAGTTGTAATCTGAAAGCTGAGTTGCCCAACCTCCTTGCTGCAGCAACCATGGGAATTCCTGCCGCAAGATTGAGAAGAATCATAAATCGATTGAGAAGCCTGTCGGCCCCAGCGGTTTCTTAGTGGCATTATATACGCGGTTGTACTTGTTTGGATTTGTGGGCCCAGTATATGGTGTTGATGGGTGGGGGTATGTGTAGGATGGAAGTGCCTGCTGGCCCAGGTTCTGATCTACTGTGTGATCTTGCTGCACTTCACCCAGGGGCTGGACTTTGCAGAGGACTGGGCTTGGGTACTCAAGTGCATGCCGAAGCACGCGGTTGCATGGTTTGCTTAAATTGTTTGTGCCTGAGCTGGCCTGCAGAAATGGGATGCCTGTGAATATTTTGCGGGGTGCGGATCTCTTTCAGCTGCACTGCAACGGAATGGATTGTGCGTGGCTGCCTTTGACATCATGTACTGGGCTGAACACAAAAATGCCCAGCTTGAGCATGGCCGCCCTATGCCAGAGAACAACCCACTTGACATAAACCAACCTGCTGGGTTCGCGCTTCTAGGAGGCAAACATGAACATAAGTTGCCCTGTGTGTCCTGTCCGATCCTGCCCATGTGGCCCAGGCTGTTGCTGCAGTCCATCCTGCAGTCGAAGAGCAACGCGGTATTCCATTTCGGAGTTGTTTGCTCGAGTTGGGTGGCTATTTGCAGACACACTTCTGGGAGGAGTTTTCTCTGCCCGCTGGGCTTTCAGGACAGTCCATTTGTTCACGCAGGAAATGTGATGATGGGAAGGCTGGTTTTCTAAACAACAGGTTTACAGAGCACCTTTTGGGGTTTTAGGGATGGAGGGTTGTAGGAATATAAGTAGTTCGGGGACCCATGCCATATTACATGTCATCAGTCTTGGCACCCAGGGTGGCGCTCGCGCTATGGCTCATTCATTCTATGGATAAAACATGGGTGATAGAGCAGCCGGCAAGCAGTTTAGCGGCACGGCATCCACGCTTCCGAGCCCTTCTCAAATGTATGCGCATTTGGCGTATAGCCTTCTGGCTTTGCAAATACGGAGCTGCTAGTCCTAAGCGGCTGAAGTTGTGGTCAAACAGCCGTGGCATTCGCTTCTTTGGTACTTCTGCACTGACAAAGAAACAACGGGAGCGTCTACCTCACAGGCTAGCCGAGACAAAGATTGGTCCCGATGGCAGGAAAACCTACACGGGGAACAAAGCTCTTCTCAAAGACTCCCAGACCCGACCTCAGAGAATATACATTGTGACTAGACTTGCCCCAGCTTTTCATGTGCCCCATATATTGTTTATGTATGTACATTACCTAAGGTCGTATCCTCCAGGATTCGCGCGGAAATTTGCACGGAGTTTACGAGCCCTACGGTCTGAGCGATCCCCTGCACGAAAGCTTGCCAAGGCCTGTATGCAAATATCTACTCCTCACCCTTTCGATATTTGGGCCCCATAATTAAACCCGAATTATCCATTCCTGAACCTATTCCCGATGGAAGCTCTATTGCAACCTGTGATACCCAAACAACCCTGCTCCAAGGTGAATGGCTTTCTGAAGGCCAGCGACTTGATGAAGCAGCTGAAGATCGATGACTGGGCCGATGCCGAGCTTCCTGCGGTGATTAATTATCTGGAGACGAACAAATACTGTGATGTGCCTCCGGATTGGTTTTTGTAGCCTCCATCCAGTTCAAGCCACTCGAGATCAAGGTTGTGATTTTTGGAAGCCTCTAGATGCATTCTTGGGTAAACAAACATAATCTTATAAGGTTTCTGTTCGCTGTTGTCGGGTTTTTGCTGGATTTCACAAAAAATCCAGTGGCGTAAAAAAGCATCGCAGTGGCGTAAAAAACCATCGCAGTGGCGTAAAAAAACGTCGCGTTTTTGGCCTATGTTTCTGGAGCCCATGAATGCGCACAAACACACCTCTGATGCCGACTATCAATGCTTCATTCTCAAGTAGGATGCTTGGGTTGGCCTCATGCCGCGAGCAAAACTAGCCAGCCTACACAGTGCTGCAACCCTGTATCGGGGTACTTCCTTCATGGCGAAGAAGAAGAAAAACTCTGTGAAAGAAGAAGCCAAGCCGCTTCATGAACAGATTCAGGACAGGCTACCTTAAGTTATTGAACTGCGTGCCGTCTACGTTCATTCATGACTGCATGTGTATAACCTATAGTACTCTAACCCTGCTTCTGTGCAGGAGGCTAAACAGCTCTTGGAAAAGTTGCAGAATGCTGCTACAAGGGAATACCTTCCCGGCGTGGCCTCGCTTGAGCACACTGATGCCCACCAGGAAGAGCCGCCCGATGCTGACCATGAAGAGGCCCATGAGCCAGATCAGGAGAAACCTGCAAAGAAGCCGCCATCATACTCTTGTGCTAGGTGGTTCTGAGGATGCTGGGGCACCTGAGAACCCAAGCCCTCCAGCGGAGACAGAGCCCCCTGCGGAGCTAGAGGTCCCTGCGAACCCAAAGCCTAGGAAGACCCTGAAGAAGAATGGCCAAGCTGCCCTTCAAGCCCTGCCAGCCCCTGCAATGATGCCTAAGAGCACTTCTGCAATCTCATACGATCCGAATGTTGAGGATGCCCAAGACCCCAGAGCCTTTGAAAAAGGAACCTGCTTGGGCAAGCTGCCCCCAGCCAACAACGGTGCTGACATGTCACCCCCACGCCCTGCGTCCTTGCTAGGTCTGTTCTCTGCTGCTGCTACAGGTGAAGTTGCTAGCAAGCCTGACAGGAAGTTAGCTGAACACGGCAGCGATGCCTCTGACCTATTGCCGAGCCCTTCGACATTGAGATTGCAACTGCAATTTATGTTGAAGGATGCCAAGGTTTCCTGGTGTTCAAATGATATTCTTCTGGTTCGAATGGGCTACCCTAACCTCCTTGCTACTCTTCGTGCCTGTAGCTTTGATTCTTATCTGAGGATGCTGCGGCCACTGATGAGGTTGAGGCGCATGGGTTTTGTATAAACATGGGTCTGGGGCATGCTTTACAATGCTTGTGCAGGTACCTCCTGGTCAGCCTGACCCAGCAACACCAGCTGCAACCGAGCCAGAGGGCATGGATGTCTATGAAGGCCCACCGCCAAATCCCGATCGGGACCCCCTAGCTTTGGCCATTATTCCCAAGCAGACAGCCAAGCCCAGCAGCCCGGCCAAGAAATCCCCCAAGAAGTCTAGTCCGAAGCGTCGTACCCCGGAGAAGTCTAGTCCGAAGCATCGTANNCGAAGCATCGTACCCCCGAGAAGTCCAGGCCCCAAGAAGTCTCCGAAGCATCATCCCCCAAGTCCAAGTGCAAAGGATCCCAGGCCTGCAATTCATGAGGACACCCCACGCAAGCGCTCCAGATCCATCAACAAGCCCTCTCCCGAAAAGTCCTCGCCTAAACGAGCCCGACTCTCCATCATGGCAGCTTGATCGCAAAATTTGTGTATGGTTGTGCTACACAGGCATAGGTTTCTTATAAGGCATTGGGGCTGAGATTTGCAAGCGTACATAAGGCAAGGAAGCTCAAGGAGAAGCAGGAGCTGGCGTATGAGGCAAGGTTGAGGCGAATGGTCAAAGGAACAAAAAGGAAAGGATCCCAGGTTCCAGAGATTATTCACAAGCTTTGGGCAAAGGGCAAAAAAGCTCGGAGAGAGATGGCAAAGATCCTGTTGCAATGCGGCGGAGACAAGGATTGCATGCTGCACGCATGTACACGTGTATTAAGTTTGCATGAATTCTCAATTGCAGGAAGCCTTCACGGAGAAGGTGACTCACGAGTACGAGCAGAATCGCTCCAACAAGTTTGAGGTCGAAAGCGGATTCTATACGGATCAAATGATGCAAGACGATCTCAAATTCACGAGGCCATTGTATAATGCATGCGCGCTCTTGCATGTGCACTCATGTCAGGCAGCGCCGCCGCTCGATTCGAAAGTATTGCCTTCGGCCCAAGAACAAGGCAACACATGTAATGCGCGTGCCCTAGCTGTGGTAACCATACATGCATGTTAACATTAATGGGCTGTTGCAATTGCATTTCTCCCAGGCGCGACAAGTATCAGAAAAATCTTCTGTGGTATTGGGTGGATACCAAGTACAAGGGCCTGCGCACGGAGGAGGATAAGGAGACGCTGAGGCGACAGACAGAGCTCGGCAAGGGCGCTACAACCAAAGTGCCCCTAGGACTTGCAAGGCCCTCAACGAAGACAGGTGGTGCTGCGCCGCCTTCAGAATCGGATGATGATGATGATGAGGAGGCGGATGATGAGAGCGAGGTTGATGATGGTGAGAGTGGGTCAGGTGATGATGGTGAGTCAAAGAGCGATGATGGCAATGATGACTCGCCAAAGCGAAAGAAGAGGCCACAATCGAAGCCATCCAAGTCCAGGAAGCCCAAGCGCAAGCGGGATGAATTGGATGAAGAACTACCAGATGAGGCCCTTGCATTATTGCATGCCTGTGAAGCACAAATAGGTCTTGTAAACGGATCAGCTAGCATCATCAACCCTTCCCCTACAGAATCCGAAAATCCCTTAACTCTTACTTAAATGCTGCCTCTTGCCGCAGGATCTGGATGGTGTTCCCCAAGTCCTGGATGAACTCCTCAAGCAGCAGAAGAAGATGCAGGCGGTTATGCAGCGCTGTAAGGATGTTGGTGCCGCGGAGTATTTGGGTGTGGTTTAGAAAGAAGTTATGGAGGTCTTATTTTAATCGTGTATAATAACTATTGGGTTCAGGGATTCAGGGAGGCTTCGGTAAGAAGGTTATGTTGTTACAGGGCCATGGTGTGGTTACATTGAGGACCCATAGTACACGCAGGGCTTAGATTTTACATGGTATGTCCCAAGTGCATGCGTATGAGGGGGCTCGGATTGTAAAACAACATGTCTACGCTAGCTGAGGCATGCTCAGCAGCTTCAAAACCGGATTGACGAGCTGAACACGATGCACGATGAGATTGCTGACATTAAGTCAGCGCATGATTGCGAGGAACCTATTGACAGCAAGATGCTGAACAGCACCCAGGTCAGATGTGGAACGCTATCTTACAGTGTTTCTTGCATGTGTCGATCTACGCATTAGCTGAGGAAGCTGGCAAAGTTGGTCGCTAGCGTGAACAAGTTGACTTGCGCTTAGCTCACAACAGCTAGCTACCTTCAGGCCTAACACATGCTGTAACCTGCCCAAGGGTTTCCCGAACTACGATGGATGAGAAGAAGATTCGACAGACCTGCCCTCAGCTATGAACCCAACATTTTTTAGACCTATGTATCCTCAACCCTGTCTAGGACAGTGCTGGCCAACAAGAAGGGTGCCAAGAAAAACCCTGCGAAAAGTGAGCCCAAAGCAGCTGCCAAGCCAAAGCGCGCTGCTGCGAAGAAGAAGGGGAAGAAGTAGGGCCTCCCAAGTTTCGATCATGATCTGTTATCATGGTACTTGCGTATGCCCATAGGGTATGCTGCCAATTTGGTGTCACCAGACACTAGGTCTGGAATGGGGATCATACAAGTGTGTGCTTCGCGCTTGGGAAACATGCAGTGTGCTAGTTCGCGTGCCAGCTTCATCTGTATCCAAAGCTTAGCTGGATCCCTGAGCCAACCCCAAAAACAAACCTGGATTTGTTTCATGAATTCCCGAATGAAAACCATTATGCCCCCAAAACCCTGGTACAACTGCAAAACCCAAAGACCTCTACCCCACGCAGGTGCTTTATCCTCGAGCTCCATCGGTTCTACGACTGCTGCGAATGTTGGGCCTATTGGACAAGCTTTTGCTAAATCCTTAATCAAAGGGGTCCCCTGGTTGCATAGATATATGTGGGGTGATGTGGTTTCAAATTCAGACTAGGGTTTCTGCGCCTGGAGAAATCTCCCCAAAGATTTCGAATGTGGTCCAGCCTTGGCGGGGGGATAGGGTTGTGTGGTTTTTTTTTTGGAGTTCTACACTTATAATACCCATAAGTTTCTGTGTGTCCGGTAGATTCTACAGGGCTAAGGTTTCTCATGAAATGGTGGCCGAGCTTGCGAACGCAGTGCAGTATGAAATAGAGTTTGCTTTCGGGGAGAATTCCACAAAGAAGCTGCAATCTGGAAACTTGATAGGCAAAATAAGTCATGCGCATACTACGGGGCATGCTGCCACAGGAACTCGGGCAGCTATGGAGATGGTGCCAAGTATCGTTGCAACCCTCGAAGTGACCTACGTACACATAGGCCGTGATCGCGAACACCCAGTCATCCTACCAAGTAACTATGTGAAAGCTTTGGTGGCAAATGACAAGCTGACAAACCTAACTGGTGGGAAGCCTTTGTCCTGCCTAACAACTTTTTGGGAAAAGATGCGGCCCTTGCGTCCGAACCATCCCGTCTACGAATTGCCTGAGGATGCCTGGAAGCATATCATTCCTGTATATTTGATTGCCGACGAAGGTCGGGGCTTCAAGAAAACTGGAATCATGGTGCTGGGGTTCGAACCAATTCTCGGATATGGATGCGATGTTGAAGATGAAACCACCGCGTCAGAGCCTATCAAGATGAATTTCCGAGGGAATACATTTAAAACCAGAATGCTTTTCACGGTACTCCCAAAGGCTATCTACAACAAAGATGCATCGCCCTTGCGCGAGCTGATCAATCAATGGGCTGATGATTTCCGAAACTGCTTCTCTGGCCTCGAGGTGAATCACGAAGGCGAAGCCATAAAGCTGCGAGTTGCCGTATTAGGATTGAAAGGAGACTGGCCAGCATTGTCAAAGTTAGGTCGTCTCGAAAGAAACTACGCTAGAGAAGCCTACCCATTTGGAAAGGGACTTTGTCACTTATGCTTAGCCAACACTTCTGAGTGTCCCCAGTGGCACCATCATGACTTTGCAGTGGCCCCATGGGTAGCTACAATGGATTCTGAAGAATTGCCTTGGACACCCGCCCGAGAATGTGGTCTAACTATGAAGATTCCCATGGAACCAGATCACAAAGCGCAGTTCTTCTTGGTGGACATCTTTCACACGTGCCATAAGGGTGTTCATGCGGATCTTGCTGGGTCAGGGATAGATACTGGGCTTATATCACCAATGTGTTTTTCCTTTTTTGTATTTTGGGTTGTGGTTTTTTTTATATGTCTATATAGAAGAAATCCTATCCTAGGTTGAACCCTTTTTGCCAATATATGTATATAAGGTTACCCTTGTGGATTTTGGGGTATCTGGCTCACGTTTGCCTGGCGCTATTCCATCCCTGGATCACATCTACTCTGACATGAAAGCGTTCGCAGTTGAGAAGCGGATGTATCTTCACATGTCGGGCTTGACCCGAACGCTGCTGAACTGGAATTCAAGCGCAGATTATCCAATCGGGCGCTCTGAGCATGGAGACGAATTCTTTTAATATTTGGGCTTTCAAGTTCTAAGGGAGTGCAAGGTGTTAAAACAAGTCTCGGCTATATAGTTTGTTGGGGTCATGTCTGTTTTCAATCCAGGACATGGTTCAAAGGGGCGGATACCGTTGTGGTTCTGAAGTACCTCTCTTGGAAGTTCTCCCAAATCCTCATGAATGCGGATGCAGTGATCAATGACCGAGCTTATTTTGAGGAGATTCGAAACTGCTTGTATCACACTGACGAATTTATGACTGCCCTGTATCATTCTGGGTTGTTCATTGCTCGGCTGCGTTTGGAGAGGATCGTGCGACATGGATGTGAGATGCTAGCAAGCTTCTCACGATGTGCTGATATGGCCTTCCGGTTACGCCTTCCGCGGTTTAAATACAATCCTAAATTTCACATGCTCTGCCATCTGGTGCTCAGCTTGCAGACTGCATTGGCTAACAGGCAGAGCCCCATCAATCCGATCTCATATTCTTGTCAAATGCCGGAGGACTTCATCAATGGATGTGCTACTTTGTCCCGCAGTGTGAATGCCAGAGCGATCGGCATTCGGACCATAGACTTGTATAAAGTGGCAGTAGCTTCCGCATGGTGATTTGAGAAGATGGGAGTGGAAAAGTGATATCCAGAATTTTGCCTTTTTTTGCAGCTGCAGGTTTTCCTGCAACCACTGACGGGGTGGCAACTTTTGTAGGCAACCGTAGCTATCCAGGTAGTACATGGGTACAGCTTTGTCAACCTGCGGAATTATGAAGGCTTGGAAGTTTGGGTCCGCAAAACGGCCCTCATGGGCGTATGTATGTAGCGTGTTTCTACAGGGGCCCTTAAGGGAATATGGAGCCCTAAACCCCAAGGTTCCAGGATTCAACGGAGTTGGGCGTCTGGGAGGATGTTGGGCATGGGGCTTATTTGAGCTATAGTCCGAACTCCTCAACGGGGTTATTTCACGCATTATACAGGGTTCCTATTACAGGGCATGTTCAGGGGGCTACTAGGAGCTTAAACGATAGCTCATAATGGGGGTGTCGTTTCTCCTTGGACCCAGTGAGGCCCTCAACTTTTTTCTTCTTGGTGTTTGCTTAAAAAGGAGCAACTCATCCATGACTTTGACCAGGATGTTGCTGAGGGGCGTGCACAATAGACACCCGGTCCTTCAAGACAAAAGTTGTGCTGGGAGTGGCGAATGAAATTTGGACTTTTGAGTGACACGACGGAACCTCCAAACTCTCGGCTGGCGACAATAACGATCATCAGTATGCACTCATAACCCCTGTATCATTGGAGTGGAATATACCGTTCAAGCTCTGTTCCAATCACTTGACCCTGTACAGCATATGTTCCAAATGGCACCTAGTATCTACCCCAAACCCCGAAGCCCCCAACCTGTGTTAAAGGCCCCTTGTACCAAAGGGCGTCTTTAGCTTTATATGGAGGACTTTCCGAAAATTAAATGAACGAGTTCCTGCGAAAAATCTGAACATAACTCCTTCACGAGTAGTGTCTGGGGGTGGGGGTTACCGGAACTTCTTACTACATTACTGTAGTATGGTAACTAAACATAACACCAAAAACTCTAAATCCTACATAGCCCTCATAAATAACCTCTTCAAAATCTAAAGGACCCTTTGAGTTCGGCCACTGCTAGATTGCTTTGTCCCCTTGCGTCTGTACTGAAGAGGCCAACATAATTACCGATCCGTACAACCTTTAGATGTTCAAACAATGAACCACCGACAAGCCTTATAACTTATAACCTGTTTCCAATGCGTGTTCCCTTTTTCCGTTCGATTCTCGTTCTTTCTAGTTATTTAGGGCCCCGGAAGACCCGAAATTCTGATGTTTTTAGGCCCGTTCACTACTGTTGATCCTTTATGCGTCTGACGTGAATCGGCGAGGTTCGGACTATTGTTTAAACCCGAAATCCTAAACCCTACAATCCCAAAACCCTTAATCCTGAACCCCGATCCCTAAACCTGAATCCTATCACCCTTGACCCCACACCCTGCATTAATCACTTCCCCTCAGCAATAACCCACCCCAAGAATAAGAATTTGCGTTGTCATTTAATGGGTACGTGCTGCATTAGTCATTTCCATTACAAGCCGGTGGGGGCTATCTTAAGCCCTAACCCCCAAGCCATCAATAATCTAGCAGTTTCCTCTTTGACGTTCCATTTCCCTGACTACGTCTTTGTAACCCGTTTAGAGGGGTTTAGGAGTTTCTTCAATTACAGGGCGGTGCCCCTAGTTACATAACAGCATACTCCCATGATTATATTTGTAAGGACGCATAACTATACTTATTCCCCCTTATAAGTTATCCATAACCCAGGTTAAAACTTAGGGACACCACATTGTCGGGGCAGGAGTTACTTAGATTGCTGAGGTTTGGCTCCTGCTTTTTGCCCAGTATACCACCGAGTTTACCAAAGCAAACCTCATGAAGGCTTGGAATGACTTGCTTTTAGGGTTTAGGATTTGGGGTTTAGGGTTTCGAGTTTAGGGATCCGGAAATTTGAGCCCTAAACATTGTGAGGATTTTGGAATATTGGGGTTCGCGTGAGGAGTTGAGGGTTTATAATTTTGGGTTTTGAGGCTGCAGGGTTTGTGGGAGAGGCTTGACGTGCGACGAGTTTTGCTTCGCAAGTACCGAGCCTCATAATTTCTAAGCCCTACACCCTACTTGCAAGTGTAACCGGCTTACAGGGTCATTGGAGTGGTATAGGGTCTAGGGTTTAGGGTTTAGAGCAAAGCTTAATTATAAGCAGAGGGAAGCCAAGATTGGAATGTAGGGACTTGTATTGGGCATGATATGGGGTCAGTCCCACCTAGCTGCCGTCAGGCAAGTGGTGGCGTGCAAAAAATCCCGGTGCGGTGCAATACAGTCGACCCTGTAGTTGTCGAGGTTTCAGCTGCGAGAGGAATTTTTACCCAACCCCAACATCTCAAACTGTTCGCCCTTTCAGCCGCAAACCTCAACCCACAACTTTGAAGCTTTAAATGAATGGCAAGAGGCAGCGCAAATTCAGTGGGCGTGCGTCCACGTGCTCGTCATCCTGTCGCTGGTTCTAGCGCTGGCGCTGGAGGCCGGCGTTAGGGCTTGACGTTTAGGGTTTTAGGGTTTTAGGGTAATAGGGTAAGGTTTAGGGGTAGAACTTAGGTTGTTTATGGTTTTGAAAGTTCTGCGTGTTTTGGTGTTTTTGGGGTGTAGCGGGGCCTTTTTCCGAAGGCTCGACAGGGTGTACAAATTTAGTTGTAAACAGGGTAGGCTTGATTTTTGTTACCCTTGCTCCCTATAATATAGTCCTCACTCATGAGGCCATATCAAATCAGTTTTATAGGGCCCCCCCAAACCAACCCTAGTAAACCCTAACTCTGAGTCCATAGCCCCGCAGAGGGTAGGTACACTTTATGTCTCACCGCACGACTACCCGCTTTAGGGTTGAGGTTTAGGGGTGCCCATGCTACCCCCCCAGCCCCTTAGGATTCTCCGTTCATTGGTTTAGGGTTTAGGGTT